TCAAGTATTCTGTAATATACAAATATGTTTTTTTCAAGTGTATTAAGATTGATTCTATTATTTTGAACAATAATATTTAGGGAATTGTGTTCTTCGATCTCCAGTACACTAAAAAATTTATTCTATTGGATTCAAATAACTTAATAACTTAATGTATCAATAGATTGACAATGGTGAAGTTGTGGGTGATAGTTCAGTGGTAAAGAGACCCCTTGTGAGTGAGTTCTCATCAACCCAAACAACAGAGAAGAAAGGGCCTCTCAATGTTAAACTTGAAGGAAACTCATTGAGTATAATTTGTGTGGTTGAAGGGTCTGTTCTGTATGGACAATGGACAATGATGCCCGGTGTCACATAAGGTTGTATACATTAAATTATTTATTATTATTGGGTTTCAAAGACAATTGTGGCCGGTGGCACATAAGGTTGTTTACTCTGGGCTACTAGTGGCACATAAGCTTTTCTAAGGTTTTGTAAAGCTCATGTAATCAGTGAATTTTCAAGTTTTCCAGACACCTATTCTTCCAAGTACGTGATTGCACTGCAATCAAACTGTTTGCATGGTTGAATTATTCTTTTGCAGGGAGTTCAAGTATCATAGGACATATATAGCTAATTTGGTGGTTGGAGTCCATGATGAAGTTTTTCTGCACAGCTCTTTAGTTTTCCATTATTTTTTGGATGTATATTATATGTTTGAGTTCTATAATATTGTAAAGTATTGAGAAAATGTACTTTTGATCATTCTTATGTTTTGTTAATAGATTATTATATGTTTGAGTTGTATTGTAATGTATTGAGAATATGTACTCTAAACTTTAAAAAGTATATTACTAATTATTTCTTTACTTTGAACATACCTTGACCAACTATATATCCTATACATTGTTGATTTGCAGCCTATGATAAGTTTAAATATCTGCAAGTAACAAGCTCAAATTTTATTAAACTTTCAATCTCATATAATTTATCAAAAAATACTTTTAATATTTTTTTCAATTTCATATAATTTGTATTGAAATTCATATATATATGAATATAAAAAGATAGAAAAAAATGCATGGTTTTTCATTAGTTATAGACAAACACTTGTAATGTCTTCTGCCAATACTTCAGAACTGTACATAACACAAATACACTACATAGTAAATCAATGTTTATGCTAAATAAAAATAATTTATAGTTCATAAGATTGTATTAAACAAAGTGAACATAAAAAATAAAATTCTCACTTCTTCTTAGGTTAACTAATTAACAGAAATTTATTTGTAATAACCAATATATATATATATATATATATATATATATATATATATATATATATATATATATATATATATATATATATGTGTGTGTGTGTGTGTGTGTGTGACTTTAAACTATAAGATTCTAGGTTTCTAAAAATTGATACAAAATGACAGAAACTTAAAGTCATATTGTCCTATATTAATTTTTTTGAGAAATAACATTGCAAAATATGAATACGCAACACAATTAAATATGAATATGCAACACAATTAATAAGAGAAATATAGATTATGGTTACAAGGTGCACAATGTATTGCTGAAATCTACCACCTGTGATGCTATTGAGAAATATAGATCACTCATTAGGACAGTTTAATGGTTACAAGGTTAGTTGATCATGTTTTGGAAGCTCAGATTATGTGTCAATGGCAAACACTATCACACGTGAGATTATTTTTTAGAAGCCCGGTCTTTAATCATGGTCAAATTTACGTAGCAGTCTCAAGAGTAAGTAAATTTAGGAGATTAAAAATTTTGATATGTGGGGATATTGTACCATTATAAGTACGACTAAAAATGTCATATAAAAAGAAGTTTTCAATAATGGATAATACAATTGCATCCATAATTTCTAATTAGTAATTAGAAAAAAAAATGAAAAAATAAGAACATAGTCTGGGGGCGGATGTAGCCAAGTGGATTAAGGCGGTGGGTTGTGAATCCACTATGCGCGGGTTCAATTCCCGTCGTTCACCCATCGCATCTTACTTAATGGTTAGGTGCCATTTTTGTAGATAGATATGTTGTGATATGGATCTGAATTGTGTTATGTGACATCAATTCGTTATGTATGGATGAGATTCCAAGGTCCTAATTGCGTGCATCCAGTAGGAATTGAACCTACGTGCATATATTATTTCATATGTCCGTACATCGCATATATTTTCCCACACGGGTCATTGAATTTTTATCTACTAGCTTGATTGGGGGAGATTCTACGAGTTTCTGCCATCTTGCCCACAAGGGTCATTGAATTTTTGTCTACTAGCTTGATTGGGGGAGATTCTACGAGTTTCTACCATCTCCGAAAGCTCCAACTCGTTATCCCTTAGAACCCTGACTAACAAAGAAAAAAAAATGTCAGTCACATACTCACATATAGGAGCATAATCTGTCCAAACTCCATTCACTTTAATCCGGTTCCTATTTCTTTTGATAATAGCGGAGTTGTGGTAAAATCGGGTGTTACAATCACCCACTCAAATCCACTGACATAATGTTCATTTTTAATATACTAAAAGTTCATTTTTAATACATTGAATGTTAATTTTTTATGTTTAAGGTTCACTATTTGGTATAATATTTAAAAATGAACTTGCATATTAAAAAGGGAAAATTGTAAAAAATGCCCCACTATAATATGTCAATTATCAATGTCACCCCTGAATTATGAGTGATGTAAATGTTGCCCCTCAATTATCAAAATGGTGCACATATAGCACCTCCCGTAACGGACCTTTGGTTCCCCACTGCTGTCCATTGCTGGTACTTCGAATCGAGGGAGGGAAAAAAGAACTAAATTACATATTTACTCCGACTTAACGGTGTCGTACACTAATGGGGAACAACATGTCCGTTACGGGAGGGGCTGTATGTGCACCGTTTTGATAATTGAGGGGCAACATTTACACCACTCATAATTTATGGGTGACATTGATAATTGGCATATTATAGAGGGGCATTTTTTACAATTTTCCCTATTAAAAACAAACATTATACTAAAAATGAACGTTTATCTATGGTCCACATAATCCACATTGCAATGTGGATCATGAAGTAAAACTACGTCATACCATTTCATTTGCATATACGTTATTGTATGAGTTCTATTGTTTAGTTTCATTTTTTGCACGTTCAAGTATCATTTTAATTACACTCCAAGATCATTTAAATTTTAATTACATTATCATTTGATAATATATGTTATTACACTAACTTTGTTTTTTAGTATCATTTTTCACATGCACTAAGGTGAAAAGGCAACCGGAAATTAAAGGTTTGAAAGAAGAGAGGAAGATAGAGAAATACTAGAAATAGGAAGCAACATATATTATAATTTATTTTAATTTTATCATTATTATAACATATATATAATATTTCAACATATGTCAGTCAGAAATGGATGATTGAGTTGTAAACCCTCAAACATAAAATTAGCAATACAACAATATTAAAATTCATATTTCTATTTAACAATATTATATTATTCCTTTTTGCCGTTAAAAATTATATTCTACATTATTAGTTTTATAATTCTCCATTAATTCTCGGTTAAATTTACTACATTTCAAACTCCCATCAAAACTCAACTGCATGGCTAAATTATTAAGATTTTTTTTAAAAAAAAAAACCTTCAAAACATGCATGCTTAAGTCCCAGTTAAAATTAAACTCAATCTCTCACCTCCATGCTGTACTCAAACACTCCTAAATCACCTATAAATATAGACCAAAATTCAGCACTCCAGCACCAAGACTAAAACAGAAGATTGAGGAAGAGCAATTTGGAGCTTGGCTTTACAATTTGGAGCATTCCATTCTATTAACTTTAGTTTCTATAGGTGAAGTAAGGATTACAAGTTCGTTTTTGGTGATTATGCAGTTTATGTTTTTTTAATGTTGCAGTATAAAATGCTATATCATGTTTTAGTTCCCTTTTATCTTTATTTATTAATTGTTTTAGATTATAGTTTTTTTTAAAGGAAAATGCTATATCATGTTTTAGTTCCCTTTCTAAATTGTGTTCTGTGACATCAATTATGGATGAGATTCCAATGTCCTGATTGAGTGCATCCAGTAGGAATTGAACCTACGTGCATATATTACGTCGCATATATTTGCCCCGTGCGATAAATTGGGTCGTTGAATTTTTGTCTACTAACTTGATTGGGGGAGATTCTACGAGTTTCCACCATCTCTGAAAGCTCCAACTCGTTATCCCTTAGAACCCTGCCAAATAAAGAAGAATAAAAATTTAGTCACATACTCACATGCGCTCATCTGTCCAAACTCCATTCACTTTAAAGGAACCGAATCCGGTTCCTATTTCTTTAGATAATAGCGGAGTTGTAGTAAAATCGGGTGTTACAATCACCCAATCAAATCCACTGACATAATGTTTATTTTTAATATACTAAAAATCATTTTTAATACATTGAATGTTAATTTTTTGTGTTGAAGGTTCACTATTTGGTATAATATATAAAAATGAACTTGCATATTAAAAACAAACATTATACTAAAAATGAATGTTTATCTATGGTCCACATGATCTACATTGCAATGTGGATCATGAAGTAAAATTACATCGTATCGTTTCATTTGCATATACGTTATTGTATGAGTTCTATTGTTTAGTTTCATTTTTTGCACGTTCAAGTATCATTTTAATTACACTTCAAGATCATTTAAATTTTAATTACATTATCATTTGATAATATATATTATTACACTAACTTTTTTTTAGTATCATTTTTCACATGCACTAAGGTGAAAAGACCGTCGGAAATTAAAGGTTTGAAAGAAGAGAGGAAGATAGAGAAAGCAAAGGGCCGGGACTCCATTTGGGAGAACTAGACTTTGTAACAAAAACTCCTTCTCCCAACAACAATAATCATGAGTATACATCTATATATTTAACAATTGTACGTATAATTTTGAGATGTTTCAAACCTGCAAACCTTTACCTTCCTCCCACTCTTCAATTTCTTTAATTTATTAATTTATGTAAAGAATTTAAGAACTGAGCTCATAAGTTCTTATAGAAAATGTTGTACTGTATATATTATTATATGGTACTCTGTAGAAGATTACAAAACTAAAAAAATTCAATGCCCATCGTCTTCTATTCTATAGGTTGGATTCCTCACTCTAAGGGACCCCCCCTCACACCGTAGTTCGTCTGCACTATAAAAAGATACAAATCACGATAATTCAGTGACTCAATCAGCATGTAGAGCTAATTGCACCCAAATACTGTCTAACACTGAACAAGCGAGCCCGTATCTTCTATTCTCTTCTATTTAATATGCACCCACAATCCCTTGCTGGGTACACCACGGTGCACAACAAAGATCAAGTAATAGCCTGGTGGTGCAAGCTTGCCAGAGGACGGCGCCACGGCGGAGATGGTCTCCTTGGCCACAGAGGTGAGTCCCAAAATCAACATCCTTTGGCCCTCAGAGTACCCGTGAGTGGTGAAAGGCGGCGGATACATGGTAACCTTAATACTAGACATGTCCGCCGCATCATCTAGCTTGAAATGGATATTGAAATTCTTTCCATAAACCAATTCCGTTTGGGAAAGCTTCTCCACGATCTGCGGCCGGAACTTTTGCAGTGCGGGGGCTAAGTACGGCGGCGAGAATTTCTCGACGCGCATGTCGGTTGGGTATTTGGCTTTCATATCGTAGGAATCGTGGGTGTTACTTCCTGCTACTAAGATCTTAGCGTCGGGCAAAACCGCAGAAGTGGAATGGTACATTCTGGCAATTTTTGTTGGTGTCAACTCAGTAAACCTTTCCCCTTTCGGTTTATCCGGGCTGTAAAGCACCGGAGTGAAATTTGGTTCCTCCGCCCCGTCCCAACCAGAGGTCCCGGTTTTCGCGCCATTAATTATGAGGACATTCCCATCGGGGAGAATCAACATATCTCCCATAACCCTCCCCGACGGCATCTCCTCAATTTCCCACTTGGCCCCTTCCTGATTCGCAACAATCCTGCCGCAATCCTTTAACGCCGGCGGAAATTGCCTCGGCGGATGCTCCGTGACCTTGAAGGCTTCGTGTGTATTGCCGCCGCAAACCAAAACCTCCGCCTTCACAAAATCATTCGCTTTGGTGAGTTTGAGAGGAAGAAGCGCGGATTGCCCCGAGGCCGGGTAGTTCCGGGACCCCCCTGGCAGCTTAGGAAGCTCCCGAATCGTCTTTCCGGTTCTAGGGTTGAAAATAATGGAGCGATCGTTGGCGAAGAGGAAGACATTGCCGTCGGGGAGGAGGTACACAAATGGATACAAATTATTCTCCAGAAAGCCGTCGGTGGTTTCCTCGAGCAGCCGAAGCGGAAATTGTTTGTTCGGGAATTTAAGCTGATCTGGCGGGACAATTTCATAGTTGTGAGATTTTCTTCCTCCCACCACGATAAAATCACCATTTTCCAAGACTTGTTGAGAAGCATACCTGCCAGTTCAGTTCAACGTAGTAAATTAAATTAAATTAAATTAAATTAATTATTATAAGATCAGAATTTGAAAATAATAATGCTTACCATCTGTTTGCAGAAAGTCCAACATCTTCCTTGAAATCGCATAAATCGCAGGGTTCCAGGATTCTAATTCCTCGAAAACCTTTGTCGTAGCCTCCGGTGCTTATCAATTTTCCGGTGCTCGACAGCCCTCCCGACGAGCACCATGTATTCAGGCTCAACTAAACATATATGCATAAAAACAATATAATTAATTAATTAATTAAATAAATTGTACCCAGGCCAGGCCAGTATTATATATATACCTTGAGTGTCTTGACAACTTTAGCGGTGTCGAGATCATAGGTAACGCCATGAGCCCAGCAGTCTTCACGGCCCTTATCATCTTTTCTGCACCACTTAGGATTCTGCATCAGTGCGGAGCGACCAAGATTAATGGCGTCATACCAGACAACCCTGTTGTTTGTCATCAACTGCATGTGCATGGCGGAAACACCCACGTTTTCAGTTACAGTTTGCCAGCTCGAGGCTGAAGGATTCATCTCCAAATCTGGTTTCCCATAGGCGCTGCAAACAAACAATACAAGAACATAATAATAAGCTACTGTTATTGACGCCATTGGAGAAACACGATCTTTTATTTATATCTAGCTTCTCCAATGGACTAATTCTTTTTATTTATTTCTCGATGTTCGATGTTCGATGTTCGATGTTCGATGTTCGATGTTCGATGTTCGATGTTCTTCGTCCTGCCTACCTCTTCACATATATATACTTGCATTATTGCGCTACTCAGATTCAAATGCCTACAATTATGGATATCCACTATTATTATATACAAACAAACTACCTAGCTCTTGCCTCATGCCCATCAAATTTTATTTTCTCAGCTCTCCCCTCCCCTCCCCTCTTCTTTTTATTTTATTAAAATGTTAAGTTAATTAATTCATGGACAATTTTACATAATGCAATCAAACATTAGAAAGGAAAATGCATGTTTTTGGAAATTAAAATAACTTATTTTTCAGAAGTCATTTTTCTTGCGCCAGAAGCCATTTTTCTATCGCTTTCTAAATGAACCCAAAGAAATTTATGATGCAATCCAGACTCTTATAGTTTATTTTGCTTTCAATTAGTTTATTTTGCTTAGTTTATGAACCAACGGACTTTCAATTAGTTTATTTTGCTTTAAATCCAGACTCTTATATTTCTGCTTTTGGTTTAGTTATTGTTGATGTAAAGGAATTGTCATCCAGTGTTCATGGTGTTAATTTCTCCTGTGTTAAGCGATCTGCGAATCGTGCTGCCCACATTGGTGCTCGGGAAGCTGTTTCTGAGTTAGGTTGAGGGGAATGGTTTGACATTCTACCTCATTTTCTTGTTGATTGTCTTAGCTTGCTTCTGATTTAATGAATTAAGTCCTTTATCTCAAAATAAAAATAAAAAAATTTGGTCATGCAACAATAATACTAGGACTAAATGTGCATGTTCTAATAAATAAATAAATAAAAAAAGACTAAAAATGGACTGTCACCTATAAATTTAAGACAAAAATAGAATTAACTCTTAAAACTAATATCATATATAAATCTTCTTTCCTCATCCTCTCATTGTCCTTCTCTTCTCCTCCTCCTTCTTCTCCTCTTTTTTTAAAAAAAGGTATTTTAATAAAAAGTTTAACATAAATTTGATCACTTTAGCCATTTTATCGTGTCAAAAATTGCTAAAAAATTACATTATGTTTTTAATCCAAAATGCTAAACATTAGTGTTACGGTTAAAGCAACATTTTTGACTTGATATTTTGATTTAAAAAAAAAAACATATCTCTTTTTTCAAAGCCTTATTATTATAAATGTTACTAAATTACTAAATAAAAAATTAAATAATTAACTTAAGAGTTAAGACTATCACAAAATGATATAGTAAATTATCTCTTTCCAATTCATAAAGAGATGTGAAATGCATGATTTACGGTCTCACTTACTATACAATATGCAAATGTGAGCACACGTCTCTCTTTTTATCATGTCTCTCTTTTTATTGAGGATTCCATGATTTCTGTTGTCTTGTTGAGGTTGATGATCCTCGGTCTTTGTTGAGAGTGTGATGAGTCTTTGATGTTGATCTTTCCTTGGTTTTAAAATGACTATATACTGTATTCCTCTGTCTTAAACGCTTTTGATTATATCTATCTATATGTTATGCTACTTAACGCGTATTGATGGGTTACCAGCTTTATTCGCTGACCGGGTGTTATCCCTTATCTTATATAAGTTTTGAGTAGATGACGAGTGCGCTTGTGGAGACTCTTAGCTAGTGTAGCTTTATCTTTCTCTTAGTTGTTGTTTAGCCTGTGATCCGTAGACTCTGGATGTTGGAATAGTTGTTATGTTTTGCCTGTGCATCTTTAGTACTTTAGATGTGGCATAATATCCCCGTTTAGACTTTCTTCCGCTTAATGTTTAATGGATGATTAGTTTGCTTATCTTGTCTTTTAAGCTTTAAAAATGTGGGAAAAATCGGGGGTGTTACAAGAACCATCACCAATGAATATTGAATCATGACCAGCATATTTTTTTTAAGATTTAGTAACATACCTGAGATTGCAGTCATATGATTTGAGGCCATCCCGTGAGATAAGAAAAGAGGTAAGCCATCTCGCTAGGACTTGGGGCAATTCCATTGCACTGTCTTCGAAAAAGCGTAGAGCTCTACATGAAGTCGGTTGTCCCAATGGCGATGTCTTAGGATATGAGAAAAAAAAGAGCAAAAGAGGGAGCCATTGCCTATGTCGGGATCACAAAAGACTTCCTCGGGTTAAAACATAGAGATCTATTCCGTGGGGAGTCGATCTTTGGCATAAGGGTGGAAGTGTGTGAGAACCAACGCTTAAGTCGGGACCACAAAATTTTTCCCCGGGGTTAAAACACTAAGCTCCGTGCCGGAGGAAATTGGACCTTGGCTTAAGGTTGGTGAGTGGCCCATGCCAAACCATTCACTTATTTTCTTGTAAAGGAACTTGGCGGTATAAGGATGGGGTTGGTTGGTTTGTACACATCGTTCCCACTAGCTAGGGTGGCTCGGCTATAGGCCTTTGCAAGATAAGAGATGAATACCAATTTTGGATTGCATGCTTGATGAATTGTGTGAGAGGGTATCCCCTTTTTAGTTTCCATCCGATCTTTTAGGAGTATGGGGCTTCCTTAGAATATTCCTTGAGTAGATTTAGTAGGGGTGCATGACTAGCATATTTATTACATGATATGAGGGACTTCACCCCTCCGTTTGCGTGACACTTATCTTGATTGACCTTTGGATGAATTAAGTTGTCATTGAGTTGGGGTTAAGTGTATCTTTGACACTTAAGTGATCATTGGTTTGATTGAAACTTGCTTGAGGGCAAGCAAGGCTAAAGTGTGGAAACTTGTGATAAGTGTCAAAGATACATTTTTAGGGTTCATTTAGGGTGAATTCTAAACTAAAAGCAATCCTTTGTGTAGCAATATCGTGCCAATTAGCTATGTTTTGCATTTTAATGTAAATTACCACCACACTTTGTGTTTTATATGTTTTTAGGTAAGCTTCGGGCTTAAACGAGGCAAAGTGGCACAACCGGAGCGAAAGCGGGAAAAGAAGAGAAGCCGAGACCAAGCCACGAAGGCCACAAAGCGCATTGCAGCGTGCGTTGTGGAGAGACAAAAACAGAGTTGATTTCCAGAATGTTCAACTCGCATCACAACGTGCGTTGTGACGTGGGTTGGACGGAATAAGTTCCCAAACAACGTGCGTTGTCCGGGGCGTTGAAGGCTGCGTGGAAGATCTGCGGAAGGGATTGAAAGAGGAGGCTATTTAAGAAGTTTTAGATAAGATTTTGAGAGGACATTTGGTAGGTTTTTAGAATACTTTGATAGCTTCACATTTTGAGATTGAAGAGAGAGCAATTTGTAGAGAGATCTTAGTAGATTCAAGCTTGGATTTCTTTGGAGATTCATTGAAGGATGAGATTGACAAACTCCAAATTCAAGAGATCTTGCAAGACTTCTTTTATTTCCTAATCTACTTGTTTGGTATTATCTCTACACTTTTCATTACTATTTGCTTGGTTAGGTTTAGATTTATGAATGCTTTTAAGATTTCTATGGCTATTGTAGGCTAGCTTAGCTAGGGTTTGAATTGTGAAAGTGTGTGATGATGATGCTTTTGTGACTTAGTTCTTGAATTAGGGATTGATTGATGCAATGCTTCTATGTCTTGTTGTTGGAGATTGATTTGTTTCCATCAAAGGAACTTGATCACCTCCTATGGTTGTTTGAGGGATTGACTTATGCTAGGTCAATCCAAGCTCCCATCCTTGGCATTTCCTAGCTCAAGAACCCTACGGGGCTTGGTTTGGTTGGGAAGGAGTTGTAGGCAAGGTATTTGAGGAAAGGTTTAGATGAGGCCTAAACAAGTCCTAGTAGTCTAACTTACGAAAGGACACAAGCCACTCCCTAGACTTAGCATTTGCATCCTCTTTTCCTATGTCTAATGATTCTATCAGCATCTTAATCCACACTAAGCAATTCAACCCTATCTACCTTTCATTTGATTACCACTTGTTAGCATTCATTTTACTAGTTCACTACGACGTTTATCTTTTGTGTGTAAGTTAATTCTATAAACATAAGATCCTCAGAACTCATGTCTTTCACATACGGTATTTAATTAGAGTTCAACGAACATACCTGGGTCCATAGTTCTCTACTTATACTAGAAACTTGGTTTCTCCCTCCAGACCTTCAACATTCCTTTCTCTAAGAACTCTGATGGAGAGAGACTATTGGTTTTGTTTTTCTGAAGGTTGGGGAGAGGACCAGAGAATCAGAATGGTTAAAAACATAATCTCACGGTTCCATCAACGTGAGAGGTTATCTGATGAGCAGTTGAAACTGCTATTTACCATTAACTGACCAATCATAGAATTATATCATTATTAAATTATAAATAAATATTTATGAGCCACACAATATAATAATGAGCAATGGAATAATAATAATAATAAATAATTATTCCAACATTCTCCCACTTGGCTCATAAGTCATAAATTTAATAATGAACGTGAAATATAATATGCATAGTATACGGTAATTCCTTCGTTATATTGGTCAGAACGTAAGTCATCATTCAGTTAGAAACTAATAAGAATCATGACGGTAATACGTCACTAATTTAACGTAGTCCCTTCCATGTATCACAATATTAATTTCAAACTCAATATGATTCATAATGAACTTTTCCAATATGGTCCACGATAATGTCTTTGTCAAAGACAAATCCTGTTTATATTAACATAAAACATTCATGTATATATACTTCAAAACTAAACAGGATACTTAATACAGAAACGAAACTATATTGAGCTCTTAGTATCACATATATCAAAACACAAACCTTGACATAATGTTAATAGTTTCCAATAACGCCCATTCTTTCAACATGCTCACTAAATGCCTTTGGTGGCAAGGTTTTAGTTAATGGGTCTGCAATCATTAATCTAGTGCTAACGTGTTCAATTGGTACTCTTCGTTCCCGAACATCTTCTTTAACGACAAGATACTTCAAATCAATACGTTTAGCACCACTTGTATACTTGTCGTTTTTAGAAAAGAATACTGCTGCGGCATTATCACAATAAATTTTCAGCGGCTTGGCAATACTGTCGACAATTCCAAGTCCGGAAATAAAATTCCGCAACCAT